GATAATAATACATCTAGTGTTGATTTTTGATATATTACTTAAAATGATGGCAAAACTATAGATTTTTAGAATATATTAGCATTGATATAAAATATGCTTTAAAAACTTGATTGATTATTAATTGATAGGTAAATAATTTATTTTAAAATCTGAATGGCATGATTATATATATTAATAGCAATTATATTCAATATATAGACATGGATTTTTATTAATTAATTTAATTCTAAAATTTATTGTAATATTTTTTTTTCTTAGGTTAAAATTTTAGAAAGTCGAAAAAATTATAATTAAACATATGTATATGCTATGGTCTGAGTTTGCATAATTTAAATTTGTATGTCCAAATAATTGCATAATACAAACAGAATCTTTGTATTATTTGGACATACAAATTTAAATTACCATGATAAGTCTTGTAAGTAAGAATTTGTCTTAGGATTCATTGAAAATTAACATGGGGCTTTCAGATCCCATGGTGGAATTAAATAATCATAAAACAAACTCTTAAAGAACCCTTGAGACTATTTTGTGGTGTTTAAGTAGCAAAAGAAACGTTTGTCCTTTTAGAAAATCACATAGATTCTTGTTAAAGCATCAGAAGAGAAGTGCTTTATCCATAAATATAATTTAATAAACTGCCATCTCTTTTACATGCTAAAATTTCTTTATTAAGCTTCCACTTCTAACTTAGTTAATCTGCAGCATTCTAAAACTTAAATATCATTATAAATATAAATCATTCAAAAGAAATAGAAAAATAGAAAAATAAAAAAATAAAAATAAACATGCATATATAAGCAACTCAAACTGTGTGTGAATATATGTATATATATATATATATATATATATATATATATGATTCAGATCAATTTAAACCAAATTCAATTGCAAGTTATTTACTAAAAAACTAAACTCTTTATGTAAAATATAATTATAAATAAAGGTGTTTCTAATATATATATACATATATATACATATATAATTAAAAACAATCTATTCAAAAAAAAAAAAAAAAACTGTAATTATCTAAGAAGTAGAATTATTCTCTTTAAATTATTTTAGAAATACATTTGTTACAAATACTCCACAAAATATGTCAATAAAAAATACTTTCCTTTGTCCAAAACGTTGCTAATTCTACATATTTAGAAGCTTGCTGGAATTAGAACATATATGTATATATATATATATATATATATACATATTTGTCCAAGAAAATGCAAGAAAAAATTATCACTTTTCAATCTAAATTTTTTAAGTGTTGTATTATTCTTGGCATCACCAAGATAGAAACACTCTTTTTGAATAACTTGTTTTGGGATACAGACCCACTCCTTTCCATACCCACTTTAAAACCCCCAGTTAAGGAACCCTAGAAATTACTTTTAAGCTGCATGAGAACTCTGCTTCAACACTCATTGTTAGACCTTTTGGATTGCATTTCAAGTTTTGCATTCAAGTTTTAGTATGCTTCACAGCACTCAATTTTGTTTAAAGATTTACATAAAATTGATGGATAAACATAACGACAGTGGAAAAGGAGCACCAAGCAAAACAAAATCTACTCTGTTTTTTTTTCTTTTTCTTTTTATTATTATTATTATCATCATCATGAAAGATCGGAAGTGTTACTAGCTTTGGAAATTTCTCTGACCAACATGTACTTCAATTCAAGGCCCAATCTAGGTATGAATAAATGCCATAGAGAGAGAAGATTTTTAAAATAAAATAAATACACAAGTAAAAACAAAGAAGAAAGACAACACAAATACAATCACAAACAAAAACAAACATAACAGACAACCAAAATAAAACAAAAATAAGTGTTTTTCACTTTCATACACATGAACATCAAGAATACAACCATAGACCTAACATCTCATTCAATCCAACACAGTTTCTCTTATATATATATATATATATATATATACACATAAACAAAACAAAACAAAAAAAAAAACACTAGAAATATTGACTAATGATGATACATAGGATAATCACTGCAGTGCAAGACTCAAAGTTGTAAGATGGAAACACCATTTGTCCACCTCTACCATCCATTTATTGAACGAAAAAATAATCAAACATATACACATACATACATACATACATAAACAAACATATATATATATATATATATATATATATATATAAAAGAACACAATGTCTGTGATGGCAAGCATAACCCTACTCTTAGTTATATACCCCCACCCACTTAGCCCGAAGCCAAATGAATGCCATGACGACTGCAACGCTTACACTACGCAGTGGAAGCAGCAGCAACACATGACACTAAATGAAGCTAAATGATAGAGAAATGATGAGTTAAGTGAGTCCTGTTAAGCCCTGCCCCACCACTCTGCTGCTTTGCTTTGCTTTATCCCTTCTTTTGCTTGGCTTGGAGGCATCCGTCAATCATAAAAGCATCTGTTTTTTTTTTCTTTTTTTAAAAATTTCTTTTGTGCTTTTTAAAGGTTACAGGGAGTTTGGGGCTTGGCAGGGAAAGCAGAAGAGACAGGAGAGTAGTTACAAATGCTACCATACAATGCACACGTGGGTGTTTTCTGATACATTCACTCACTCTTCTTCTATTTCTATGGCTGAGCTTTTGCACTGGGCAGCTGCTGCCCCATGGCAGTGTCCCTGGCTGGATGCCCTGCGGATGAGATTTGCTCCTTTTCATCCTTATAACATGTTGACTTGCATGTGTCCAAAAGCCTGTGGTTTATCATCCATCCACATGTTCATCCAAAGTTTCATATCATTTGTATCATGTGAGCCCAACATGAGGGGGGGGGAGCCCTAAGTACCGAAAAACCAAAACACGGAATAATATGGATGTGCCCATTATTTATTGACCAGGTCTTGGTAAAAAGGAAGAGGAAATGTTTATTTTAGAGAATGTTGTGAAGTGGTGTACTGCAGCTTGAGATTATATCTTTGAATTGTACAATGCTTTTCGGAAGAAGAAAGAACGATATATATATATATATATATATATATATATGTATACTGAAGCAAATAGATGATGGCGTTCTTATTTCAAAAGGGTTGTGGAATGTGACGATTCCCTCACAATCACAACAGTGACATTCTAAAGCAACAGGGTACAATAGGTTCTGTTCTACAAAGCATCGGCAAAATGTCCAAAGGATACTATTACACTACATTTCAATCGCAACTGAGCGAGTTATAATCAGTCAAAAGCATGTGAAAAGATGACACAAAGCAAGAAAAATAGTAACGAATGGAGGGACCTTGTGATTCCTACAGGGTTTCAGTGATACATACACACATAAATACAATATATTAATATACATACACACCCATAAATACAATATTTATACCAATACAAACATATATATATATATATATATATATATAAATGTATGCATATATATATATATATATATACACAAAGAAGGTAACACCCTGATTATAGAAGAGAAATGAATTACAACCCAGTAGATTTCCAGTAGAGGAAGGATCAGAGGGAGGATGATGAGATGGGAGTTCGTGAGGTGCCGCATCCAACACCATATCCAGATATCCCAACACACACACACACACACGTCAAGATGAGTAATCCTGCTGATGCACAATCTGAGCCATGAAAGAAAGCCAGACAAACAGGCAGACAGACAGACACAGTGAAAAGGAAGGAGGAGCATGATGCACACACTCATTCACTCACTCATTCACTCTCAGTAAGAGAGAGATTTGTAGATAGATAGACACAGACACAGACAGAAACACACAGATGGAGTCTCGCAAGATGCCGGAAAGGGAGTGGTAGAGGGCGAGGGGGGGGGTCATTGAATGAGCCGCTGCCAGAGGGACGAGATGATGGAACGGTGCAGGGAGGGATTGGATCTGCACGCTCCACAGCCACCAATCGGGCGCCGAGGGAAGGAAAGGAATGTAAAGGGAGGGTCATAGTAGTAGCAGTCGCAGTCGACGTCGTCGTCGTAGCAATACTACTTGTGTTGCTGCAGCTTCTGCTGTTGTGCTGTGGTGTTGGTATTGAGTATTGGGTATTAGGCAATGTAGGTGGATGATGTTGTTGTACCGCTGCTGCTTCGAAGAGAGCAGCGAGACAGACAGGAAGAGGGTGGGGGGTGGGGGTGGGGGTGCTATTATGAGTCCACGAGAGCCGCAGAGCTCCGTTGCCAGGCCCTGCTGCTCATTATTGGCTTTGTCCTGCACGCCCTTCTCCTCCTCTGCCACCCCCCCAGTGGCCTCCTCAACGACGACGACGCTCCTCATCCTTAAATCCGACGACCCCACTTTCCCTCCCTCCGTTTCCCTTTCGCCCCTTTCAACGTGGAATCGCAGCAGCAGCATTCCAACTACCGCTTCCACTGGTTGTCATCTTAATCCCACACTGTCGTGCCACTCAACCCCCAACTAATTGAATCCCGTCCTCGCTTCCTGTGCCGTATTCGTGAACCCCCCCCCTGCTCATTCAATACTGCTACGTACGTCGCTGTCTAATGATTCAATCAGGATCGGTGCTCGTCCTCCTTGCGGACGTATTTGACGAGCAGACTGCGGTTATTACTTTCTCGACTGGAATTCGGGGAGATGCACAGGAAAAAGGGGAGAAGTAAAAGGGAGAAAAAATAAAAATAAAAATAAAAACAATTTTTTTTGTCAACGTCAACAACGTGGAAACATGTGATCTGTGTGTGGACGCTGACCAATTCGCTTCATGGAACCGGGTCGTGGTCAAGAGTGGGGACGATTTAGGTACCATGGGGTTTAGAACAGTTTGGATGCGGGAGTACCGTGGGACGCAAACGATTGAATTGCTGTGGATCACAGAAACAGGGAAAGTATATTCGGATAATTGACTGTGAATCTGTGCGCGCACCAGCGATGGACGGCGAGTGGAAAGTATATTCCTCCAGCGCCAGGTAAAATAAATCAGCAACGTAACTTTCACCTGTACTAACTGCAGTGTCGACGACTATGTATGCAAGTCAGTAGCGGCGGGGAAGGGGGTGTCTGCAGCGACGTCAAGCTGCCACTCGCAGGCACTTTCTCACTTGTGCGCTGAGCTGCTGCATTTACAAATAGTTTGCAGGCCTGTGCGCATGCCTGGGCAGCCAGCCAGCCACCCCCCCCCCCCCCGTTTCATGAATGCTCAAGTAGATTGTGACGGCTCCTCCGCTGCACCAATGCACAAATTCGAGGAGATAAAAACCTTCAGGTGTCTCACACCGATCGGGGGCTTGTTGTACGAGTGATCTCGACGCCGTTGCCTCTGCGACAAAGCCGGTTGTAATGTCCAGCTCCGGTTACACTTGTATCGGGGACAGTAGCCGTTCGTTGCAACGTCGCTTCTCGCACATTCCTTCAGATTACTACTAGCGTACATATCGTCAGGCTGTCCCAGTGATACCCGTGAGCTCTTTCGGTAGCGGCGGATCCTTTCGCGTGTTTCTGTTTTCGAGCTTTTTATTTCTATTTTACATATATTTTTTTATTTTTAGCCTTGTGTAACGATTGCATCGAATGACGGAAAGCCTTTAGCCAGGAAAGGGTGGTATTTCCCAAGGACCTCCGTGTCTTTCTGGGCAATGAATTCCATGGCAGAGGGATTCCTTTCACGTCCCAGATGTATAGGTTTGGGTGCCTTGGTATTCCTCGCGATTGGACTTGAGTTGCTCTCTCCTGTGAATGGGGCTCTGGCAGCGCATCTCGGTGGAGGTGGGCGGAGACAGATCTCGGAGGACATGAAATGGAAGGTAGAGCAAGAGGCAGACAGAGTGTGGCTGCCGGAGCAACCGGCAGTGAATTTCTCGCAATACGCTGGAATGGTCACAGTAAATGCTACAGCAGGGCGTGCATACTTCTACTTCTTCGTTGAATCTTCAGAAGACGCGCCCACGAAGCCACTGACATTGTGGCTGAATGGAGGTCAGATTCCAGTCCTTAGAAATAACCTCTCCTTCTCTCCACCGCAGTCTTCACGCCATTGCAAGCTCTCCCCCTGTTTTGCTTTCGTCTTCAAAACATATATTACATCGGTATGGTACATCTGTATGAGCGGATTCACAATCACTCACCAACTTCGGGGAGGGGAATCGTAGGTCCAGGATGCTCGTCATTGGCATACGGGTTCGCGGAGGAGTTTGGGCCTTACCGTATTCTTCCTGACGCATCTGGGGTCTATCTCCATGAATACGCATGGAATAGAGGTTCGGTTTTTCTTCTTCTTCTTCTTCTTCTTCTGCTTCAATCCTCAAGTAGATTTGTGTTTATAGCTCGTCGTAAGAATTTGTTGTTATTTTTTATTATTTACTTATCCCTGTGTTTTCCGCGACGCCTGCGCACAGCTTCCAACATGCTGTTCCTGGAATCCCCCAGTGGAGTTGGCTTCTCTTACTCCAACGTTTCTTCTGAGAATCGAATAGGTGGTGATAAAAGAACAGGTACTGTCTTCAATCATTATTCACAGTCCCCTGTAAAGAAAGGCTTTAATTGCGCGAAAGTGCCAGCCACGGTCCACTCGCAACTGCAACTGTAGGGTACTGAATATACAGCTGGATGTTACTGATTAAATGCCGCTGGCCAGCTTTCACGTCAATTCTTTCAGAGTGATTTCGCGTCATAATTCTTGCCAGCACCCCCCACTCAAGGCCGGTTACGTGCGCAACTTGACCTCTAAACTGAGCCTTAAGAAAACGTACCGCGAACTTCCATTATTGACTGAGACGAGAGTACCAGAACCATATCTCTTCTTGTGATTGTTACGAGCATCTGTACGCTGGAATGATTGTGAAGAGAGCGATGGCGTGTGGACTAAGACAGTTGATCTGTAGGGATCATTGTAGACGAATCCTCTTCAGGTGTAGAAATCAGCGATTCGTATGAACCTCCCCAGTAACTAAATACTTAATCCCCGCGGTGATATGACGCAAGAGAATCGTGTTTTGCAGCCGATGATAACTACCATTTCTTACTCAACTGGTTCGAGCGATTTCCACAATACAAACACCGAGATTTCTACATTGCAGGAGAGAGCTATGCCGGCCATTACGTACCACAGCTCGCAAAGCTTATCCTTGATCGCAACGTAGGAGCAGATCTGAAGATCAATTTGAAGGGCTGCTTGGTAATCGAATACATTCTCTTCAGTCCAGTTCGATTTCGATTAAGATTCATTCCTAAACCTCCGAGAGGTTGTGGACGGTGTGTGTATTGAAAATGGCACTAAATTCCAGTTTTGTCTTCGTGTTTTTGTTCCCCTTCTTGATTCCTAGACTGGAAATCCTGTAACCGACGGATACTGGGACAATGTTGGCAACATCGACTACTGGCATTCTCATGCCATAATTTCGGATCAAACTTGGGAGAAAATGAAGAAAGAATGTAATTTCAGTGACCCGCATTGCTGCACCAAAGCTTGCGATAGGCTGTACACCTATGCAGAGACACATGAATTTGGACAAATTGACCCTTACAGCATCTACACAGCGAATTGCCTCGAAACAATCAGTTACAGCAGCGCGCACCGAAAGTCGTATTTGACTGTTCGGCCGAACAATCCGGTAAGTACGCCATCTCAACAACCTCATTCTCAAAATTCACCAATGCTTGTCAGGCTGTCTCGCTAAACCTTCGAGCACTATGACCCTCTGTTCCTCACCGTTGTCATGCTCTCGCGTATGCCCTGCTATTGGTTATCACAGTTTATGCAAGGAAGAAGAGGATACGATCCCTGCACGGGGAATTACGCAGAGATCTACTTCAATCGACCGGAGGTGCAGAAAGCTCTACATGCAAACATTAGTGGCATCATACCATACAATTGGACTGGATGCAGGTAAGCGAACAATACCCACATTGAGTTAATCTGTCGATCTCTTCCGTTCGGACCCTGCTCTCGATGAACCCATGTCTTTTTAGTTCGAGTACCCTGAATAGCCACTCACAGATGCTGCTTCTGAATCCTTTCGTAACAGTTCGGAGCTGCGCAACTGGACGGACTCGGCCTTCTCCGTTATCCCTGTGTACAAAGTACTTATAAAGGCTGGACTGAAGATCTGGGTATTCAGGTACTGCCTGTGTGATGCCTATCGAGTGTCAGTAGTGCAGTGACTGTATGCAAAAATTGGTGCGATTTAACTTCTTTTGGCATAGGAATCCCATGATCCACATCACACTAACGAGGTAGATGGAACTGAGATTCGGTATCTAATATGTTTGACGGGCTTTATGACCCAGTGGTGACGCGGATGCTGTGGTGCCAGTGACTTCAACGAGATACGCGCTTGCTGCGATGAAGTTGCCCATTGTGAAGCCGTGGTATGCATGGTATCACCATCGACAGGTATGTCAGACTGACTTAATCATGCGTTGTCATTACAGCTGTAAAAAAAACTTCAATTCTTAGAAGAACTACGTATTGCCAAACAGCTTGTATAAGTGTAGGTCTCAGCATTGCAATGCCGTGCTGCACCATTTTGTCGTGACAGGTTGGGGGACGCGTACTAGAATACGAGGGCTTGACGTATGTAACGATAAGAGGGGCAGGACACGAAGTCCCACTGCTGCAACCAGGCAGAGCCTTTCATATGTTTAAGTCCTTCCTTGATGCGAAACGACTTCCCAATTCACCATATAAATAGAGTCTTCTCCCGTGATATCCAGCGAGAATGGAGGAGAGTGCAGCGTTGTGACTGCCGATTTCTCTTTTTATGTGTTGGGTGGGCTGTCGTGCTGAAATCGACTGAGATGTTCTCGTCATGTGCATGAAGTAGGAGATTAGACGAGATGCAACTGCAAGACAAGAGTCGCTCAAGAAGATGGGTCTCTAAACGCTAATACCTCTTTTCAGTCAAGCGGCTCTTGATCATTGCAGACGCTAATTTTTTTATGTTTTTTTCTAAGTCAGGAATTGATTTGTAGAAAACTATGCTAGCGGGGTAGAGATGAGAAAATGTGAAGATCATATCGAATAAAAAGAATTTGTACATTGACTTCCTCTGCGACTTACATAGCCTTTGAATGTGCTCACCTAACACTGCACACCGTCGACAGCATTTGTGAGGAAGAAGGTTCCAAGTCAGTGGCATCAAATAATGGAATTCTTTTATCATCAAAACCCACAGTGGCAGACACATACAGTGTTTCCTATTGTCTATCTGCAGGTCAGATCTGACAAGTTCGGTCATCAACACAAAGACCTGGTGTAGACCCTCACCCTTGCAAGAAGAAAAAACATATGTTAAGGATGTTGAGAAACTCCCCTGCACTTTAGATGAATCAAACCAAAAGAAAACATATATATATATATATATATATACCCTTTACACATCTACAATCATCTACTTTCTAAATGAGTGGTGAAGGACCTGAGTCCGTTCTCCACTTACCAAGCTTTACAAGAGGTGGAAAAGACGTTACTCTAGAAAACTAACCCCATCGAGGTTTCAGCTCCAATTCTTCGACTCACAACATAAGCATTTCCTTCCTTGTGGTGACAAAGTCGCCATAATAATGAATAGTCCGAGCGGGTGCAAAACTAGGGCTTTTTTCCCACAGAGCTCTGCAATTCTGGATGAAGCGCAACCTGAACACAGCGTGCGTGAAAAAGCAGCTTTGGTTGACTGAGGCACTTCTACTAGTGGAGCTGAAAGAACTAAAACTACAAATATATATATATATATATATATATATAATTATTTTATTATTAAAATAATACATTTTGCATTTCACTGAAGAGCTAGAAGGGGATGCAAATGTTTTCAGATGCAGGAGACCCATTAAGCTGGTTCTTCTCAGTCACCGAATCAAGTCTTTAAACACAAGTTTCATGCAACTTCACATTCCAACGGAGGCGCTCAAGAGTGAAAGGTACTGAGACTAACAATAATTTAGATTTCTGCAATTTCTTGCACAAAATGATTTGGTCATGGAGTTCTTCACTATTGTAAAAGTTATTGATTGTACCTCATTGTTTCAAAATTAATAGATTTTAATGATATTTTAACGTTATTGATCAGAAACTTAAATAATTCATTGTTTTGAACCAAAATGTATTCAATTATATCAACTTCCATTAGACTCTTGGGTCTAAAAAACGCTACAAACCCGTTGTAAATTTATCAATTCATAAGCAAGAAGTTGGAAGAAAGAAACGACTTAGAGTGAGAGATTAATTAATTTTTATTTAATGTCAGGTTTTAAGTAAGGTTTTATCTTATATTGATACCTTTTGAAAACACAACCAGTCCAAAGTTGAAGAATTTAAGAAAATAATTTAGATTTTATGGTGGATGTTATTAGAAGATTTGAGAATTCATTATTTCATCTATATATATATATATATATATATATATACTATCAAAAATAATTTTAAGACATATAATATTTAGAATTTTATTTTAAAAGATTAAAAAATATGCATAAATAAATAATTATTTTTAATGCCAATATATCAAATAATAAAATATGTGGCAATTTTCTATTAAAAAAATTCGAAAAACCTCAAATGATAAATTTTCAATTTATCATAAGTCAAACTGATTTTTTGCTATTATTATTAAATACTTCATAAATCATAATTACAATTATTACCACAAAAATAAAAATCAGTATATATTTTTGAAAAAGACACAAAAATCACCACTCAAAACACACACAAAGTAAAAGACTTTGTTTTTCCTAAAATCTTCCATTTATTCTATGGTTATCTTTCAAAAAATAATAATAATTTAATATATATTATTCAGTATGTAATAAATACGATTTTAGTAATTACAATTTTTAAGTAGAAATCAATATTTTATTATAATAGTTATGTTTTTATGTATAGTAATTTAAAGTATTTTATTTTTAAAATGATAAAAATAAAAATGTTGTGTCTCAGACTCCCAAAAAGTATATTTAGACTTTTCTTTCTAATCTCCTACAAGATACTGAAGAGGGCATAAGGTAATATCATTAATATTAGAACTTAAAAAATTATAATATTTTATATTTGTATGTAAATAATTTGATTCTCTCTATGAAAAACTATCTTATTAATATCAAGTCTTATTATAATATAATATTTTTAATTTAAAATAATTAATAATTACAATTAGTTCGTTTAAGTTTTAATCTATTTTTATATTAGTATAAAAAATTACATCTCAATATATTAATATAAGATTTTAGCAATCAGCTGATTTTGACATCAATCACCTAACCATTAGTAATTACATGTTAGCTTTCATATCAAGTATCATTTGTGTGAAGAATTGTAATACCAACACATAAGTTAGCATTTAGAAAATATTATTAATTAATGTATAATCTTTACTACTTTGTCATTGTTTGTGGAAGAATCAAGTTTATTGCCACATTATCAAATGACTAGAAAAGGGTTTTAGTTTTAGAGATTTTTTTACAAAGATACATACCAATAATTTAGTAGAAAATTATTGTGTCTTATGTACAAATTGACATCATGTTTCTAAATTTTAAATATTTTTACTATTGACATTATAAGACACAACAGAAAAAGAAGTTATTTAAGAAAATAATAGTGTAGATACAAAAATATTTTTTATTTAGAAGAGGTTAAAAGAAATCTCAATAAGTTGTAATATGTATGAAGTTTAATCAATTTTGATAGATCTAAAGAAGTCTCTAAAGTCAAAGACTACAAAAGAAACAACATCAAAGATTATTATAGCTTAAATAATTGTGAACATCATTGTATTGTATACATACTTTAAAAGTGTTTGTCATTGTAAAATTATAAAATATTAATATTTTCCTTTAATAATTACTTATTTACATCCTTTTCATTGACCTTCAAGATTATTTTTATGGATATTTGTTATTTAAGTATAAATCTTGTCAATTCTGGGGACTTAGATTATGTGAAGATTTTGTATGTTTTGCTCTACAAATAACATGATAAATTTGTTTAATATTAAACAAAAAAACCACCACATATGAGAATTATCATCATGGTTAGAAGAACGATATTTTCATACAACATTCAAATAACATTTAAAAGATAATAATAAAAATAATAATTTTGTCTAACTTAATACCACAAATCAAAATATGTTGGAAATAAGAATATTGTCTTAGCATGTTAACCTTTGATGTTCAGATTTTAAGAAATAATTGTTTTGAAAATTATAAAAACAAAAGACAATTGTATGAATTAACTATATTGTTAAATTTACTTACTATTTCTATTCACATACTTTACCATCTATCCATTTGTTACTTTAGATTTGTGTTTATATTTTGGCAAACTCCACTCTTCCACCAAAATTTTAGGGTTTAAATTAAGATAAAAAATAAATAAATAAATAACTAAGATTTAATTTTTTAATGAGACTTGCATTTAGATAGAGATTTTAAGTTAATTTCAATGTAGAATACAATACTAAAAAGAATCAATTTGAGATCAAATTTAGAATTCAAATCAGAATTCAGAATTTAGATTTGACTTAAAATTTAGACTTTGTATTAAATTCGCCTCACAATTAGAATTTAGATTTGAGTTAAGATTAAATTTAGCAACAAGACTAAAGTTTAATAAAAATGTTTTATTATAAATTATTATTAGAATTAGGATAAGAGTTGGAATAGAAACTAGGTCAATTCAAATCAATAAATTGAAGTGCTATATAAGATTGAATATTAAGATTACATAAGGATATGATATTAAATTTAGGATTATATGTAGTTCAAGTCAAGAATTTAAGATCTAAAAATTAGAATCTAAATCAATGAGTTGAATGGGATTCTACTTAAATGAGGAAAAGATCTAAGATATCATGATCCAATACTTTCTTCATTAATACAGTTCTATCTTCATTTTTCCAATAAGTTTTTCGAAAAGAAAGCCAAATTTATTTGTCTCATAAAATAAATTTTCATATTAAAATAAAATAAAACAAAAAATAACACTAATGCATGCATAGGTCAATGAACCATTGCAAAAGGGAGAGATCATCTTACAAGAACTCATTACAATATCCCTAACAAATTCACAACTTGAAATAAGTTTATCTCGGTCAACCAGCAAAGGATCTCACAAGAAAAACTTGCAGCATGGAAAAGGATTGCCACAGTAATTAACACTAAGAGACACAATGGGAATCACGTCGACCAGTAATACTCACGCAGAGGATCATGTGGGCCTCCAGTGTGGATAACACCTCGGAGAACGCATCTTGTGAACCTCGTGTCTCAGACCCAACAGTGTAAAGAGATAGATCCGATTGGCCAAAGGATCGCACTAACCATCGGTCACCATCCGAGGATTAGGTTACGGTACACAATGTAGCAATCAATAAATCATACAGCCAACGTCCCCAAAACAAAACTTGCTTCGAGGGTCCTTGGTTGGTATGTATTCGTGACTTGTCTCTTGTGTTAACTTCAAGCTAGACTCAAATTCATGAAGTTCCACCACTAGAGATAGCTCAAGCATTGCTCAGAAGAAACAAGGAATGGGTGCGACAGCCAGGGAGGATCGATCACCTAGCGGGTACAGTGGGAAATATGTCGCAGTAAATCCGCAGGGACACTCCTCTGCCACCAGCCTGCAAGCGGATTGTAAAACGGGGATTTCACGGACGTCGTTCAAAACCCTATTCCGGAAGTCTCGAACAGTATCACGGCGGGCAAAGCATTACTTGAAGAAAACCAAGGACGATGCACAAGATCCACTGTAAAATAGCCACACAACCAGGCACAAGCCTGGGGAAGAAAGACGAACTACCAGGAAAACATATCTCTAGCTCATCTAAAATGTTCCAGTCTCTAGCCAGTATTCGACGAGTCCAAGATGGAAATTTCCAATTCAGAGCCTAAGGCGGGTCTGAAAGAACCGTCGGCAATCTTTTATGCTCTCTACATCCGTTTCCAAGCCCAAATCAGAAATGCGCTGTAGACGCTCTACGATGTTGAGGATACAAGAAAGTGAATTCATTATACAACTGTCAAAACGATAACCTTATTAGCAGCTACATAGGAGATACACAGAGACACGGCTTAATCTCCACTTGAACATGCCGCTCCAGATAGCATCTAACTAATGTTCTTCCTGAAGCTGGGTTACCGAACCACGCCAATAACCAGATCTAGAGAGCCCACTATCTAACAAGAACTTCTTATACGTGGTTTCCAGCTCAGCGTACGATTTCCGAATGTCTTCATAATCCTTCATGTGCCTGTGTTTTTGCTCATCCTCAGATTCATTTGCAACGGAATCCTGCAGAAAATTGAATGACAGATTTCTTTAGATCCTGGAATCATTGAGATGTTTAAGATCTCTAGAGCCTGGTGATAGAGGAAACCACACATACTTAAAGAATGCTTAACAGGTAAGCAGGTGACATTTGACAATGTTTGGACTACCCCTATCAGTTATTCCATGCATTTGGTGAGAAAAACGTCTTTTTTTAAATTACGAAAAGAAGTAGATATGGCACTCCTAACATGTTTATTAGAACAAGAAAATGATTATTGATGCTTCTTTAAAAAAAAAAAATGACAGCATACCTCATTCATGGCCCGTATGCTTGCATATCCAGTTGGAATCTGCTGCTCATCAAGGAACCGGTAATCATCCTGTATGGGACGTCGCATTAATGGGTGCAAAATTAGACGACTGCCACAAAAAAAAAAAAAAAAAAAAAAAAAAAAAAAAAAAAACTTCTGTTTGACGAGACAACTCAAATAGTAACAGAAAACAAACAACTCCGTGAACTTCAATAGTGTTGTGAATCCCAACGTGGGGAAGGCATATCGCAACAATGGCACTCACCAAAGCAGCTGATGCTGCAGCAGCTTCTTCATGCCCTAGTGCCTCCATTCGATCTTCATCTAGAATCCCCTGCCAGCGATTCACTTTCGGTCGACGGCGTGAACGATAAGACTCTAATTCTGCATGTTTTGCTTCGATCTCTTTCTGTATTCGCTCCTGAATGTAATCAACCGCACATCTAACGCAGAACCCCACAACTGGAGCTATCAATAGCAGGGGGATTATCACTTGTGCCTACAAACATTCAAAGAAATATTAGAGAAGAAACACAATCTTTAAGGATTCGCATAACTATAACAGTATCTGATAACTTGTTCTATCCAGCTAAGGGTTTACGAACCCAGACAATGTGAATTTGCCAGACATGGACGTTTTGGTTGCTGCACAATTTTAGGAACAATAAACATGGAATTTACCATGATTCCCGAGGGAATCGGTGAGAATCCTCCGACATGAGAATAGGATGGTGCGGTGTCGTAACCGGACGTTGTGGCGGTGTTCAGTTCTTTCACCAACTTCGCAGGTGCCTTTGCGAGCATCTTACTTGTAGCAACCGAAGTTTCAGGCATCGCGCGGAACGGAATCTGCACAGTTTCAATCATTTATTTAGTCGTGTAAAGGTTTGAGCAAAAAGAAGCCACTAGAAGAATAATATATCTAAATAAATCTTCCAAACCATAATGTTTGAAAACTCACATTGAATGGAATGTTCACAACAATTTTATTGCCTGATATGCAGGAATTTGGAATACACGCTGACCTGTCGTGTTCTTTCGAATGGAAAGTGAATAACCAGCTTTTCTCCAGGAAGTAACATGTCAACATTGTCAATCCCATTGTCACCAGCTAATCTACTTATCGTGGTATTGAATCGTTTAGCGATTGCTGTTAGTGTATCGCCCCTGACAGCAAGCGGAACACACGATTATAATGATATTAGTAATCAGAAATGAGCTGCCCTAAAGTAGTGACGAGTGACTGGCTACTGAAAGCAGGAGATTAAACCATCATCCGTATTCTCGACACTGTTCTGGGATTATTGCGGTACTAAAGTCTTTCAATATGACACCAGAAAGGGAAGGAAGAGGAAAGACAAGAAAGTGGAAAAGAGAGGGAAAAAACAGGTTCAGTCGAAGGACCTATAATACAAGTGCGTAGACAGTACCGACTGCCCAAACACACATACTGCGATACTATTCAGTCCCGATCAATTGAAAGGCAACAACCATGTCTAAATGAATGTAAATTTGAAAGCTAAAGCACGCACTCTTTGATGAAGTACACAACTGGGTCTTCATTCTTCAGATCGTCTCTTGCACTGCTGGCTGTAGCCTCAAAACTTGTTCCTGTAAATTCCCCCGATGCACTTGCATTCCATCTAGAATTATGCAAGGTACTCGACTTCTTTTGGCCTTTAATGCAAAGCCTACAACCAAGCCCTACAATGTCTTCAGGAAAGTTACTCCAGCTCAGATGACCTCTTCCGCCGTGAGCAAAAGATGACCGTTCTGAAGAAGGAAAATGTCTCCGTCCAGAAGCAGAAACTCGACATACTGAAGTTGCTCGGGATATATGTACAAGCGCCGTTCGGGAAGTCAATGTCTCGTTCATCAAAGTTGACAATGATACAGATCCTACGCTGAGTTCCATTATGCTTGAGTTTTAAGAAAAAACTCGTCTAAGAGCTGCCGCCGTCTTCACAAGTGACTAAGGGACAACTTCGTTTCGTCAAAGCCGGCTTCATCACCGTTTCCAAAGCAATGCATTAGACTGTTTCTCACATCCCCTGAGTAAGTCAAGTAAAAACAAACATACACGTAAGTGACGGTGCAGCAGATTACGACGGTTCCCAAAAGCCCCGTTCCTAGGGGAAAATCAGCAAGTAGAGACAACGAGACTCCAGAAAACCAAGCACGTTTAGTATCCAACGGAAGAAGACAGAGGGGAGTACGAATGTGCTATAATAACCTTGAAGCGCAGGAGATATAGAAACCAACATGCCGTGTATGGCAAAGTCTGAGTCACAGTAATTGTTTGAAGCACACATGTGTTTTCATTTCCTTCATAAACCTGTTATGATTATTATCGTGAAAACAACGAACAGGATGACATGAGTCAACCTTCATGATCGAGCTGACAAGCATTGTGTTGTTCCAAAAATCGAAGCCAATTCTTAAGAAGTTCAATTTAGGTAGAACAATAGCTGCCTCTCCCAGGCTCGGGTGTGGAGAGGTAGCCAGAGAGACGACCAAACTGGAAGAAAAAATAATATTTGCTCACTAAAGCTTTATACCCTTACGAAGAGTAATAGACTAAAAAACTTTGCCGCATTTTTCTGGCAAACCTTGGAGGTATTGCACACACGAGTTCGAATAAATGCAAAGGATCAATGAAACCCCTCAAAAAACACTATTTTTCCAAAAGTGACAAAACCAAGATAAAAACGTGAACACAAACTTGATACCGCCCTACTTCAGGGCAAGTAAAATCACAAACTCTTCATTCTCTTCCTCAACCCCAAACCACGTTCAGATCCACAAACAAATGGAGGAACCAGAAGAACAGAGACACAGTGAAGTAAAATAAAATAAACGTCACTCCACGCACCACAAACTTCTCCTCCACTAAACGTCGTCGAAACCGCACGAGGAAAAAAACAAAAACTCAAAAACCTCCTCAACAGGAACAACAAACTCCACGCACATATCACGTCTCTCTCACCCTCTCCATCTCGCTCTCGCTCTCTCGAACACAACTCCGTGAAACCAAAAGAGAAAAACGGTGACGGGAACGCGGTAATACCTAGAAGAAGCGGAAAAACTCAAGCTCAACTGTCGAGAAGGGAGTTGAACGAAAGCTCATGATTCCGGCACTCGCCCGAGAGCATCCCCCCGTACACATACATGACTTCACTTACTTCCTCCCGAACCACGTCGGACCTCGTGAGAGCACAGACGAACATCCAACGAGGGAGAGAACGAGGAGGTACAACGAGGGACGAGGACCGAAATGCCAAAGAAGAAAAAGAAAAAAAAACCAACGCAAAATACAAAATAAAAGCACAAATATCCCGGATCCAGAGTTGGGAACGGAGCGGGGGGACCCCTCGATCACGACCTGTCAGAGCAGCAGCAGCAACAACAGGTTTCCATCGTATAGGAAAGCTTCAAAAAAAATCCAGCCCAGGGAAGGAGGGCCACGACCCGACGATTCCTTGGGTCACCCCCGCCCCTTCCCCTTCCCCGCGATCTTTTCCGCCCGCCTGCTCGACCGCCACCACTCGTGGTTGAAGCTTAGGCCCCACATTGGATGGATGAACTTATGGATGGATTGATAGATGTGTGTTTGAATGAAGGGTCTGGATGCGATTGGATGGACGGCCTGTAGATGGGGTTTGGATGGATGAATTAATGATCGAGTAGATGAATGAGAATGCGCGGTGGTGGGTCTGAGATCCGTTAGAAGGGTCATGATGATGGAGTTGACGAACTCGATGCTAATTCCATTCAAATCTCATTCAAGAGGGCCCCTTTTAAAATTACGAAACAAAAACACCAACCCCCCCTCCCCATATAATACCAAGGATGTTCCTATTTGGATATATATATATATATATATATATATTGAAAATATGTATATGTCATAATTTTTACATCCGTTTGAAACATTTATCAAGCCTTCTTTTTTTGATATTTTCCTTCACAAAACTCTTTAAAATATTAAAACAAAATAGATGATACAGAATAAAAGTGATTCAGTGCATAAAAACTAAAAAATCTATATTTTTGGAATTATTGGTTTTGAACACAGTTTATGTTATTTCAAGGAAAAGCTATACCACAACTCATGTAATTATTGGATTTTGAAGTTTTGTTTCCCTTGGAAAATCTTATTGTATCATCTTGGTATTGGGTGTTCAAATATAGTTGAAGTAATTGTTCACATAATTGAAGGAAAAAATACATAAACTTACACACACAAAAGATGATGGTAAATGGTAATTAAACAACACTAGAAAAAATCTAAATAATTCATTTTTAAGTGTTAAATAATATGTTCAAACTTTCTTAACTTATATAAAAACAAATTATAAATGTAACATACAATAATAAAACTGGTTTAAAATTATCACTTTATATTTCTAAAAAATAACTTTTTTCAAGGATGATTGTAACTAAAAACTATATAGTATACATGTAATAATTATATTTTTTAAAATATTTCTACAAGAAAAAAAATTGAGGAATTTAAAAATATATGTTTATATATATATATATATATATATATATATAGAGAGAGAGAGAGAGAGAGAGAGAGAGAGAGTTTGGGAAAATCATTATTTTTATTATGTCTTTGAATGCAATGCAACTCATGGAACTTAAAACATAAAAATAAAAATAAAACTTAGCTTGCCATGTTTAAAAAATAGCAACTTATTGTTGTTGGGTATAACTCAAAATTCAATCATTATCATGGATATATGTAGTGCTTCCATCATTCACACATAGGAAAAACCTCCACATGGGAAGAAGCGATCCATAAAAGAAATTCCTGCTAAATACAAACAATATTAACAAAGACTCTACATGAAACTACCTTGCAAACATTTAACAATCATGAATAGAATTCTTCATAAAATTTGATTTGGTTCCTAAATAAATTCTATGTCATATATAGAAATAAATGTCTTTTAAACCAAGCAACTGACAAGCAAAACACTGACATCTCAATTTTCATTTCATTTTACAAAATACACACTTTATTTGTGATATTCAAGACAATACCAATCACAAGTACTAACACAACCATTTACTTCTAACATTATCACTGAACTATATTTTTGTTAATGGCCCCATTAAAATATTTTTATTTGCAACTTTCTTAACACGTATTCCATTATAAAAAATGATAGCAAGATGACTTTGTGCATGCAAGTGGGGTCTCTTTCACAAGCAACCCACAAGAAGCAAACTTGTAAACCCACTGCACTCATTCTTAAAAGACATAGATGTGGCAATATAATTGTGTTGCATATGTACATCATTTCAAGTGATGTCTATTGCTGTGTTGTGTTACAGCTTTTAGAGGTGAAACTAATCAAAATGTACATCAATGAGTCGTTTAATCATTAAGATGACTGATTACATGATAGCCTAAATCTATCGTTCATTACTTTGCAAATTTTTAATTGTACATCTTCAAGAAGTATTTATTTATTGATTGATAAGTTATGGATATATCTTATATTATGCAAAAAACTTATTTTTATATCAATCCAAAAAATATATAAATAAATGGTCCTGCAAAAAATAATAATATGCATTGAAAGTTAATATTTTTTGTTATTGACAATGTTGTTTAATGTTCTGTTTTATAAAATAACATTGAAATTACAAAGAATGAATATTTGTTTATATTATCATCTCTAACATATTAAATAAGAGATTTTGATATGTTAGTTGTTATCAGCTTTATATACAGTTGGCACATTGATTTCAAGATGTGCCATGTCAAAGGCACAACCTAATATTTTAATCATAAATGATAAGTTTATGAAAAAAATAAAAATAAAGTATAAGCCAAAAATATAGGTGTAAAAATACTACGTGATAAAGAAATAAACAACAACATCAAAGTACTAAAATATGTTTTATTTCTGGAATTTATAATAAGATAAAGGTTTAGTTTTTTTTGATATATAACAACAATGATTTTACATATAACCTTTAAAAATTACTTGAAATGATCAAAAAATAGATACAGTTTAAAATAATTTTTTTAAGGATCCTTTTCTTTTTTCTATCAATAATTTTTTGAAAATAAATAAGAAATATAAATTTAAAATTAAAAAGAGAAAAATAATATTTGTATGTCATCCGGAAAAAATCCTTTTTACTAATATTATATATTAAATAAGTAGAAATTCGCTAATAAAATAAGTATTTTTTTAAAAAATATAATAAAAGAATTTGCTATGAAAGAATAATATGACTCTCTTATCTTTTGTAAAAACCCACTTAACCTAGTTTGTTAATCAACATGTACTATATAATTTATTTATTTCACTAATAATTATTAATACTAATAATATTTAATTTAATTTTTATTTAATCATTTTATATTATTAATATCATTATTCTTATTTATGATGCTTACAATCTTGAAAATGATGCTTACAATCTTAAAAAATAAAGTTTAAGATGAATTTTATTTAAAACTGAATAAGAATAAAATAACTTTAGGATATTATTAACATTACCATATTTTTTGCTATTGCCACTATAATTTTTTATTCACCATATGCTATCAATATCTTTTTTTAATATTAATTAAAATAAATAAATATATTATAGTTTAAAGATAATAATAATAATGATATTATTATCTAAATATTTCAATAAAAAAGTCTTGTTGTCTTTTTAGTTATTTTTTTTATTAAAAATAAAATTATATTTTATAATTTTTTTTAAAAATACATTAGAATTATTTATTTATTTTTGGAATAATAAAACCAACAAATATATGTTGAGTATGTGATAAGTTATGGTGACAATAGCTAAAACTATGATGGAATTAGTAATATTTTCTTTTTGTATCTATATATATATATATATATATACATAAATATTAAAGAATTTTATAACACATAGTTTTTATATGTTCTATAATTTAAAAAGATTAATTTTAAAAAAATTATAAAAATATGATATTATATATTTTTAGGTTTTAAAATATTGTTAAAAAATAATATTATTAAAAATAAGATAATTCAAAAAACTTAAAAAGTCATGTAAAACAATCCATTTAAGTGATGGCAAAAATCAATGAATACCATGTGAATTAATTCTAAAGGAAAAATTAGCTAATGAGACTCTGTATGAAAATATCGTGAAGTAACATGGCTGTTAGATGAAAGAAAAAAGAAAGTTTTATTATTATAGAAGAACCTAATTAAAAAGATACACTAAAAAATATAGATAAAATATAGATAGGTAGTGAAATCTTATAGTTTTAAAATTACTTTTGATGAAAATAAATTCTATTTATTGTAGATGGCAGTAAATAAGGTAAAATAAGATAGATTAAGAAAATAAAGAATATAAGTATATGGAGAAGGGCATTAGAAATTGATTTTATTAAAAATTACTCCAAAAAAATAAGAATTGATACTTAGAGTAGAAAAATTGGCAACTAGAGGCAAAATCAAACCTTAAGGTATAAACTAGGGACCTTTGCTATTTCCAAGGTTCTTTTACAAATTAGAAAATGAAATTTGAGAACAAACTAAAGAAGAGATTTTTATTAGCTAGTTTATGTCATTTGGATTAATACTAAGATTTTAAAGAATATTCAAAATTAGTAATATACTTGATGAGTTTAGATTCTATATCAAAGACATGAACTAAAAGATGATGCATAAACCAATGAAATCTGTGTCAAAAAAAGAGTCACAAAATAGAAATAGAGAAGTACGTATATCAAAAGAAACTAGAAAGACTTATTGCTAAAAGACAAGAAAACTTGAGACTCTTGAAATTAGATTAGAAGAAAGAAAGGAGTTGATAAGAGGAAAGCAAGCTTCACTCTTGTCTTTATAT